CAAAACACCAAAGCAAAAACCCCTCTGCTTTGTCCTTCTTGTCTGTTATAGGATCTTTCTTGCCATTGTGTGATGCTTCTGATGGTCAAAAATGTCAAGGCTGAATTTCAAAGGAGATCATAAAATTCAGCTGCACAATACTAAGTCTAATAGTGTAGCCCTAAACCCATGAAATGTTATGGGAAAGTGTGTTACTCTTTGCCCAGATGCAAAACATTCTGTGTGGATGTTGAGTTCAAATGTAAATGTAAGCCTAAATTGCTTGCTGCATCTTGAGGTGAGTTTCTGCTCCTTCTCTGTCGGGTGTTGTAGTAGGAATAGGAACTGATGTTACTCTTCTGTTCCTCTTGGACAGGAATTTTGGGACACCAACCCAGTCTATTTCGTAGTATATTTCAGACTGTGTTTTGTTTTGTTTTGTTTTGTTTTGCTGTGTGCCATTAGAAATATTTTTAACTGTGACCCGTGGGTAATAACACTGTGGTTTTCCTGGAGTCCTGAGCATGCTAAGATGCTTATTTCCCAGTGGTTTTGAGATGCCTCGCTGCCTTCAGGAATTTTGAAACATGCAGCTTCCAAAAAAACCCCAAACAACCCCAAAAAACAACAAACTAAAAAACCCTCTCCCCACCTGCTTGTAACTCTCTGTATTTCTGTTTCTATTATGGAACAATATGGGCTCCATCTGCTGGCCACAGTCGCTCTCCTGGGTTGTTGTTTCTCACATTTATCCTGTGTCTCCCTGAGCTCCAACTTGTCCAGATCCATGAGCTAGAAGAAAGAAGGGCACCAGAATAATTTCCGTTCTTGATTTGCTGTGCTATCAAACACGGCACCCTCTGGAGATGGAAGGCTTTTAGTACAGTAGCTAATGAATCCAGCAGATCCTTGAGGAAGCAGTTCAACGGCAATAATTCAACAGGAATTTGTTGTGAACAGGAACAGAATCATACACTGAAATCGCTTTTATTTTCTCTTAAATGGGGCATGTAATCCCCCTCAGCTCCAACGCTTTTAGATGGGCATCTTGTGAACATACATAGATATAATATATAAATATATGTAATATAAATATAATGCTGTTTCACTGGTATACAGAAACTGTGAGTATGTTTTACCCTCCTATATCATGCAACCCTTTATATTAGACAAAGGTGAGTTTAGCTTAGATCATAGACTTCTCAAGGCAAAAGTGCACGTTTTTGCTGTGCTCTGTGCACTGCCAGGGTTGTGAAATGAAGAGCAGTGATAGTCTGAATGTCAGAAACCTGGGGGATTTTTCTCTTCTCCATTTCCCCTGTGGTTAACTAAACAACATTTATTGTTTGTTAGTAAGATCTCTGGGACCCTTTATTTATTTATTTCATCTTTTGGGATTCCTTTGTATAAATGTGTCCCAGAATAATTAGGCACTTTAGAAAGTTAGCATTACATATTCATGAAACTGAAGAGAGATGAGACAGAAAAAAATGTGCTTTTGGGTTGTTTGGCAGTGTTCTACCAGCTCTTGTGATCGACAAGATAGATTGAAGAGAAAAACAAATGAAATTCTCCTTAAGATACCTTCTTAAGTTTTGGGAAACAACTTCCATTTTTTACAATAAAACTTTAATTTTTAAAAAACTTATTTAAAATATGATATAGAGTCTTTAATTGCTGAAGAAAGCAAGTGATGGAGGGCACAGCCTTCTGATACAGATAAAAGTCAAACAAAAAGTTCAATTTATTTCCTAAAAATAAAACCAGAAAACGACCCATCCCAAACCCAATTTGAGTTACTGGATTGTGGGCTTTTGGTGGCAGTGGCAGAGGGGGGCAGTGTTGCACAAAAAAGTTGTATTTCAGGTCAGAAGAACACCAGATGTGTTAGAAATTGGTAGCTGTGTTATTGGCTGGTGGCACCATGCAGCTTCTTCCTTGTAACCCTTACTGCTGTTCACAGCATCACAGGGTATCAGGAGTTGGAAGAGACCTCGAAAGCTCACCCAGTCCAACCCCTGCCAGAGCAGGATCACCCAGAGGAGGTCACACAGGAACACGGCCAGGGGTTTTGAATGTCTGCAGAGAAGGAGACTCCACAACCTCTCTGGGCAGCCTGGGCCATGCTCTGGCACCCTCACAGTAAAGAAGTTTCTCCTCATGTTCAGGCTGAACCTCCTATGCTCCAGCTTGCTCCCATTGCCCCTTGCCTTGGCATTGGACATCCCAGAGCAGAGCCTGGCTCCTTCCTCCTGACACTCGCCCTTTCCAAATTGATCCCCATGAATGAGGGCACCCCTCAGTCTCCTCTGCTCCAAGCTCAAGAGCCCCAGCTCTCTCAGCTGCTCCTCATCAGGAGATGCTCCACTCCCTCCATCATCTTTGTGGCTCTGCACTGGTCTTTTGAAGCAAGAATGTTCCCTGAAGCAATACTCTAATGGATTGAGGACTTAATTTGTCAATAAAAGGACATTGAAATTCTCAAAAATGGTTGATGTCAGGGCCACCACATGTGTGAAAGAACATTCAGGGATGTTTCTGAAGTGCCATTGTGTTTTCTGTTCATGTAGAAAGCACTGAAGCAAAGCTCAGTGTCTGTGGTTTGGGAAGAGGTGCAGCTCCAATCCTTCAAAACGATGCAGTGCTGTGGGTTGGTCATGGGAGTGATTGCTCGTCATTGCTTTAGAAATCATCAGAAGTTGATGATTTCATCTTAAAATCTCAAGATGTTAAAGTCTGAAGCTTTGAGACTGTAAATGTCCTGCAGAATGCAGCATGACACAGAAATACCCAACTTCTGGCGTCCTCGCTTGAGGCTGAGGGCAAAGTGTGTACCACTGCGGTCTCCTCCTCGGCTCTGCAGGCCTGATACCTCCAGCATCACCTGGTTCTACTTCTTGGACCTCTGCCTTTTGGTACTTGTGTGCTGTCCTGTTGCACAGACATAAAAGCTTGTTTGAAGTTAGCTGCTGTGCTCTGAAATGACTCCATACTGAATAGGCACTCCTAAAGCTTCCTGGGCTCTGATGAGCAATTAACAGCTCGGTGGTGGTCCATGAAGGTGATGCTTATTTTTGGACACAGATTTAAAAAAAAAATAATAAAATAAGATTTTAGAGCTTCTACTAAAGTAGAAGGATTAACGAACCAAATTCATCTGGCCAGTTTCTCTAAAACAGGAATTAACCAAGCTCTACAGACTTTGAAGCATGGAATTAACTGAGGTTGTCGATTTGAAATCTGGTCTAAGTGCTTTGCTAAATAAAGGAATCAAAATAGAGCTGCTGCAAATGCTGTTAGATCAATCTTATTTTATTTTGTCAAACCTGGGAGAACAATATTCTATTCTTAAAGATGAAATTCTGGGTCTATAAGTAGTAGGTCGTTGAAGGAATTATTTGGAAGAAAATGGTTCAGCTGATGTTAAGAAACACTTCAGTGTATGATATTTACATTTCTGGGTTATTTTACGAGGTGTAATAACTTCAAGCAGAACAGGAATTTATTTAAGGTTCTTTTCTTCCAAGTAAAACTCTTCTGGCTCTCTTAGTTACCTGGACAAAACAGTGAGTTAAGTAGGGATCTGACGGGAAAGGGTGCAAAAAAGTTGAATGCAAATGAACAAAAGAGCAAAGTTTCCCATTATAGTAAGTACTAAATAGTTCAATAGTTCAATGCATTTCTTTTCTAGTAAGGATGAAAGGTGGTGTTTTGGAGAGCTGAAAATTTTGTGGAAGAGGATGTTGGCGTAGAAATCTAGAAAGTTCCAAAATAAAATAAAATTTGGAATTTTCTTTGTGTGGATGCTTCTAAAAATAAAGAGGGGTTGTACAAAGCTGCTCAGTACAAGGCAGAACAGGAATTGCCAGTGAATTTCTTGTGTTTCTTCCGCAGACCAAGCACATGCTGCTGACTGACCACGGTGCACACCTCTTCGCCCAGGCCATGGGGATTCCTCCGACTCCAGGGGAGAAACTCATCACTGAGAGATCCCAGGAGAGGTGGAGGAAGAACCTGGAGCCAGATTCCAACCCTGAGGAGTTTCAGAAGTAGGGGTTTGGTAAAATATTTTCTCTTTTTAAATTGCCGTAATTTAATTTGTGCGATCAGTCCAAAAAACCCTGAAGAAAACCCCTCCAAAGCTTGAAGGCCTGTGTTCAGGCTTGAGAATACTTCACTTCTGAGTATTACCTGGTTTGATACAGTTCACAGCTTGTGCTCAGTGGAAGTAATGGAAAATCAAACTTTCTGTGGATTTTCTCGGGTAAGTGACTGGAACAAGCTTGAACAAACTTGTTGATGCTTAAGAAGATTGCCGGTCACTTTGACATGGCATAGGTGTTGTGGTATTAGTGGAGGAGAAAATTAGAACTTGTGCATGGAGTAGCTTTAACAAACAGCAGGTATCACTGTGTAACTCTTTTCCACAGAGGAACTGTGACTTTAAAACATTTCCAGTCCACATTTTAAAACAAGTCCATGAAAAAAAAATTAATGAAGCTGATCTTGGTTTAGTAGATGATCAGATTTGTCTTTGAACTGGGTTAGGTGCCAAGTGACACCAGACTTTGACCAGTAACTCCTCTTGAGTTCTGATTGTGACTGGTGGTTGTTGTAGAGAGGAGTGAAAAAATGGACCAAGAAGTTCAGTGTAGTGGTGGGTGTGAAAAGAGATGCTGCGGGATGGTAATGCACAGCAGCAACGTGGAAATCGCTTGTGAAATAAGCAACTCCTCGTTAAAGCAGAGAGGAAGGAGAGGTGGAAAATCATCAGCTGAGGAATTTGTAGATCAAAAGGAGGAAATTTCTTTTGTGGGCACATAAAGTGCATGAAATGAGGCCATAAAATACAAGCCACGTGTTACTTTCAGTAAATTGCTAGGAGGAAAAACAAATTCATGAGGCAAGTGTAAATACAATCTTGTGAAAAAAAGTGAGGTTGTTCCTTGACCGTAAGGTCTCGGTCACAGTTCATCTTGTATCCAACAGCTTTCTGTTGATCCGTGGTCTATCCAAGGACTGTGTGGTGGTGTAATTCATTACGAGGAATTTTGAGCGTGGTGTTGCCACTGCCACGTGTTCTTTTTCTGGCTACCAGCGCCTGAAACATGAGCACAAATTCACAAAGCTGAAAACGGGTCTTTTTTTTATGCAAGCCCATTTGTTGCTGTGCCACGTGTGGAATGTTCTTTTTCCCTGTTACGTCCACAGTAATTATGCAGAAACTTGCCTGAGGCCAACAGGCAGAAGGTGAGGTAGTGTTAGTCAGAGGTAACGCGGTACCAGATCATACTGGGAATTTAACAGAAGCATAAGAATAGTTCTTGAACAAAATTTATTACTACTAATAACATCCTCTGGTATACTACAGGTACTTGTTGAAGGTAACGCAGTACCAGATCATACTGGGAATCTGAAGAAGCGTAAGAATAGTTCTTGAACAAAATTTATTACTACTAATAACATCCTCTGGTATACTACAGGTACTTGTTGAAATTCTTGGTACTATCACTAACTAAAGATAGATTATTCTAATCTGTATGTATAATACTGTAGTATATATAAAGTACTGTAATATAGTAGTACATGTATAACACTGTAATAACACAGTATTTTTACTGAGACAGGTTTGCCTGCCTTGGTAATGTTTCCAAGTCAACAAGCTATGCAACAGGTTGTTTATGTCTTCTTTGCCTTTGTTCTGGAGATGAACAAAGCAAACATGTGACACTGAAGCAATAAAAAAGCTTAAAGGGACAGTGAGAAGTAGAGTATTTGCTCTACTGCAGCTAAGGTATGTCATACAATCACAGCATGGTTTGGGTTGGAAGGGATCTTAAAGCCCCCCGAGTCCAACCCCTGCTATGGGCAGGGACACCTCCACCAGCCCAGGCTGCTCCAAGCCCCGTCCAACCTGGCCTTGAACACTGCCAGGGAGGTGTTGGACACATTCACTTCATTATTTATTGCTGATTGAGCTCTTGTACCTGAACAGAGAGCTGCTGCGTGCATTCTCTGTGTACATGGATTATTCTCACAGTTGCTTCAGATAGATACATACCTAGGAAAACATGGATGCATGTTTCTTAATTTCTCTGGAGCATCTGACTTTAGTTGGTGTAAAGGTGCCACATGCGTGTGCAAGGGAGTACTGAATTTACTAATACTCTTTCCAGCAGATCATTGGTAACAGATGGCTGGGTGGGAAGCCCATCTGCACCATCATACCAGTTTGAGCTGAGGTCCGTCTGCACAGAAATGTCAGAGCGGTTTGTAAGGCCTGTGATTCATCAGTCAACTTGGAATTGCTGTGAATGAAGTGCAGGGACTGACAGTATGGTATTTTACATAAGCAGGAGGAAGTTGGTTCCCTGAGAAACTGACTGGGGGTTTTGTGGTAGGCAAAGACTTTGACTTCATTAGCTTAGATTTTGGGAGGTTGGGGGGTATACCTGATACACTTCTAGCCAGACACTGCTTTGTGTTCCTACAAGAACTGCCAAGACTGGGATATGTGGACACTCAAACTGTTGCTTCTCAGTGTAGTAACAGTTACAGTAAGTTACAATAGCCTTTGTTCTCCGAGTATGAATACACACCTGTATTTTAAGCAGCCTGTAATACATGGCTTTTCTGTGCTGAAGAAATCAAGCAGTGGTTGAGACTTCTGTTTTCTTCAGTGCGTGAAGATTTTGTAGGCGGATGTGTGGTTTCAACAAATTCCACTGAACAAGTGATTTAAACCTTCAGATTACTTCACTGCAGAGTGCAAAGATGAAAATACATATTTATGATGCGTTGTGAGCACCACTTGTTGAAAGGCCCATAGGTAACCTGGTTTTTGTGGCATTCAAGCATTTAGGGGAGTAAGGAAGAGGAAAGAGGAGGAACAGGAAGGAAATGATTCAGTGCATTTATAACATGCCTCTCCTCTTTGGTATTCACTTGTTTATGTGCGTGGCCATTAATAATTCCGGTTACCTCCCGTTGAGGCGGTGGAGACAATTCTTGTGTCTTTGAGTTGCTCTTTAGGGGAAAGTTGTGAGTCAGGTGTGTCCCAGCCAAAACACTACTTCAGAACTACATTGGCTAGAAATATTGCTGCCCTGTATGTTTGTTTGTTTCGTGGGTTATTTTCCTCCCCAAGTCAAAGTTTTCATGCTATGAAGGTAAAAAAGTCATAGTGGGAGATTAAAAAAAACAACAAAGAGAGTGTTTTCTATTCTATTCAGTATAAAGCTGTGAGAATTGTTGCGTATTGCTGCTTGCTTTTGTCATGAGAAGCGTGATGCAAAATAGCTTTAT